CGTTGATTACTTCCATGGCTGTTGAGGATAAGGATTTTACCAACAGTAAATCGACTGAGAGGGCTTGGTCTTTCGGCCGTCGTGGTAGTGGTGCTCCTGGCACCGGTACCGCCACACCGCAGCATAAGGACCGAATCGCAGGGCAGTTTCGGTCTCTGTCATGGAGTATGGCGAAAGGATGGTCCGCGGCAAAGCAGATTCAAGCGATGTCGTCGAATCTGGTAGCGCCGCGCGGTGGTGAGTCGTCTAGTTTGCCGCAGACGGTTTATCTAATGAGTACGGTTTTGGTGTTCGTAATGTGGACTCTAGTTGCAGCGCTGCCTTGCCAGGAGAGAGGCGGCCTGCCGACGAACTTTCCGGTACCGAAGCAGTTGAGTTGGGCGCAATCGATGATCGGACTACAGGAGAAAATCGCAGACGAGTGGAAGAAGAAGGAGAAGAAAGGAAGTGCTGGATTGTTAGAAGAGATGCAACGGATGGAGAAACTGAGTCAATCATTGATCGAATTCACAGATTCATTCGCATTCCCGTTGGAGGGGGAGCGGCTGGAGGAGGTGGCAGGGATGGCGGCGGAACTGGCGGAGACGTGCAAGAAACTGGAGGAGGGATTAGTGCCTTTACAACAACAAATCAGAGAAGTTTTTCACAGAGTCGTGAGAAGCAGGACAGAGATTCTCGAGCTTTTGGAGCTTACTGCAAAAGCAACCTCGCCAATTGGGTAAACAGAAATCAAAGAAGAAGACGCCATTAACACGCCATGATTACTGCTAAAGGAGCTTCAAAACTCACGCATGAATTCCAGCTTTTTCTCGAAGCAATCAAAACCCAGGTAGATTTTGTAAGACTTTTTCTCTTTTCATCTCTCTTTTGGGGATTATTTCTTACTGGTCTCTAATTTTGTTTTTCTTTTTTTTTTCTCTCTTGAAAATTCCTTTTTGTTTTATAGAAAAAGGAATTTATAATTGTGGTAATCTGCAGATGTAATTGTGATGAAGTATATGGTTTGCTGAAATTGAAATATATAATTATAGTTTATCCTTATTTTCAGACATGTCGAGAGGATTGGATTTATTTTTAAATTTTTTAAATTTATTCTATACTATACATTTATTAGAATAAAGATGGGATTGATTATTGGACATGAATGACAACAATATGCTAACCATGTTTTAATTAAATGGATTTAATTAGGTATTTTTTTTTTTTTTATAAAGAAAGTCAATCGAACACAAAGATTTATGTGGTTGGGAGAGGTTCGAAGAGAGAAATTCTACTACATCTACAGGTGGTAGCCAATTACTATAAATCAAAGTATTTCAAATATATCTTTTAAACTAACTATAATTTATATATCCATACGAGATATGAACTAACTAAATTTCAATAAGTGCTATAAAAAAATATTCATGAACTCATTTTTCGTGACAATTTAGAACAAAGACCACACGTTGTGCGACAACATCATTTCTAACATGTCACACCTTGTGTGGGGTGAAGTGATGGGCTTAGTTGGGGCACCGAGAGAAATCTGCCCCAAAGAAAAATCCCCACTTAAGGCCCAAAGTCTCTTAATAATATACCTACGTGGGTACTGAACTAGCCACAAACGACTTATTTACTATTAAAAATATTTGGTAATTCTTTAAAATCACATCGTAGTTTAGTTTCATCATAAACATACACAAATATTCATGATAGACTCTAACGAGTAGAGGACAATAGGTTGTCTATATTTTATATAGTTAGGTTCGTGTTTTGTTTAAATTGTCATGCAAACTAAGGTTCGAAAAGCTTAATCAATTAGCTACTTACCTCAAAAGAACTTTAAAACGTGGGAAACGTCATGTTCTAACGTGGAAACTAAAAAAAAAAATGAAACAAATCGAATTGAATTGATCTAATCTCACGTAGTGTGCACACCCTCTTCCTTGTTGCGGACCTTTGTCACAATCGATATTGTTCAATGGTTGAAGGGAGCTCAAGGCTCGATAAATATAAATGAGATTCCATGATACCTCGAAGTTCCAACGAGATTAGAGGGCGGATACCATGGAAAAACCACAAATTAAAGCCTTGAATTAGATGTTCTAAATTGCGTTCGGACATATTTGGTCATTGGATTGTTCTAGATTATTTGGAAAAAATAGATAGTGACAATAACTGAATTATTAGTCTTATTATTAGTCAACATGTCCATCAATATGGCGAGGTATCTAGTAAGTCATGACTGCCACAAGCCCAGAGCCCCCGTCTTATGACCCACGACTCAAATCAGTTTAGGCGACGCGGACCATTCATTGAGTTTAGTTTTTTAGTGTTCAAAAAAATTTGATTAACTTAATTCAATCATACGATTTAGATTGAGTAATGAACTTGTTTGAGTTAAATCCGCTTCTGATAAATAAAAATTTTATCGATCGAGTAGATCAACTTTAATTTATGGTTAATTTTAAAATAATTATATATATTTATATTTCAGTCCAACACCAATCATTTTCATTACAATTATTCAATTTGGAAAATCTCTAAACATAAATAATGCCCTTTTATATCCTTTATTTTCCTTTATTTATTATTATTATTTTTTTTATAAAAAAAAATAATTATAAATTTGTAAGGTTTAAATGGTAAATTTCACTTGGATCGGGCAATTCGAAAAAACGAGAGTACTCAGGTAAAAAAAAATGAGCTCATTCGCAAATCATGCATAGGACTTGAGAGATCAGTAGTGAGACATCGTCAACGACTGTTTAGTTGCTGATAAAGTATCCCAACTATGACTTTGAAGCTTATTTAAAAGAAAAAACATCTATTTTCAAAGAAGGTTTCGAGAATATGGAAATTCTGGCTCATGACAAAAACGAGCGGCTTTATTACATTATTACCCTTATGAATTTTGGAAATTAAAAAAAAAAAAAAAAGGAAACTTTAATTTTAAGAATTGGTAAGTAGTCAAATAAAATGGGGATTTTTCACAAATAAATAAAATAAAAGGTATCCCTAGCCCACCTATTCTTACTTTATTTCTGTCATTTCCACCCCTCAAGTTCCATCAATTTCTATCATGACCCCAATTTGATTTTCTTATGAACTTTGGACTTTATAATTGCATTATCTCAAAACCATATGAATTCATCAAATATATAATTATATATTTATCTTATTATATAAGTTGGACCCATATTTTATAATAATCATATCATCTATCTATATATATATATATATATATATATATATATATATATACACAGCGTCCTTCTGATTCTCTCGTACTAAGGAAAGGTCCTCTCAATGCTCTAACGCCGACACTGGATACGGACCGAATTGTCTCACGACGTTATGAACCTAGCTCACGTACCGCTTTAATGGGCGAACAGCCCAACCTTTGAAACATACTACAGCCCCAAGTGGCGAAGAGCCGACATCGAGGTGCCAAACCTTCCCGTCGATGTGAGCTCTTGGGGAAGATCAATCTGTTATCCCTCGAATAACTTTTATCCGTTGAGCGATGGCCCTTCCACTCAGTACCGTCGGATCACTAAGGCCGACTTTCGTCCCTGCTCGACGGGTGGGTCTTGTAGTCAAGCTCCCTTCTGCCTTTGCACTCGAGGGCCAATCTCCATCTGGCCCGAGGAAACCCTTGCACGCCTCCGTTACTTTTTGGGAGGCCTACGCCCCATAGAAACTGTCTACCTGAGACTGTCCCTTGGCGCGTAGGTCCTGACACACGGTTAGAATTCTATATATATATATATAAAAAGCATACATATTGAATTAATTATAATTGGGGTATTATAATTGGTGAGTGAAGAAATTACGTTTTCTTGCTATTTAATTCCTACATTTTTATGGAGGTAACATTAAATTATAATCTTCCAACCAAACAACCACTACCATAAATGAGATGAGTTGACTTATTTAATGTAATGTCAAAATGATTATGTCTCAACAACATGGACATGGGTTTCAGTCCATCATTATTATTCAATAGTCAACACAATTAATCGTATTGATAAGACACCAATATCATCTTAAACCGAGTAGTTGAACAAAAACTAAAAAACTAAAAAACTAAAAAATGAAAAAGTTACCTTCCCGTGTGAAATTATTTTTTTTAGAGATCACGGTAGGAATTTTTCTAGAAGAATTGATATGAAACGGGTTCATTTGGAAAAGTGTGAAATAATTTTTTAATAAAAAGATTTCAATATAATTTCTATAAAAAAATATATATATATTATAATATTTTATGAACAAACATATAAAATAATGTTACATATTTATTAAAAACTCAAATTAATGCATGGTTTTATATATATATATATACTCATTAAGTAAGAAAGAAATAAATATATAATAAGTTATCTTTGTGTCATAATTTTGTTACATATATAAATATATTTATATTTATATATAAAAAGATTCTTCATGATCTGTCTATCTTGGTTTAAACGATGATTTTCACCCTATTTAGGGTGGGTCTCGCAGAATTTCTTCACTCTCTATCTACTCTTCGTTTAAACGAGGATTCTAACCCTATACAGGATGGGTCTCGTAGGGTTTTTTTCACTCATGGTCTATTCTTCGTTTAAACGAGGATTCTAACCCTATTTAGGGTGGGTCTCGCATAATTTCTTCACTCACCGTCTATTCTTCGTTTAAACGAGGATTCTAACCCTATTTAGGGTGGGTTTCGCATAATTTCTTCACTCACTGTCTATTCTTCGTTTAAACGAGGATTCTAACCCCATTTAGGGTGGGTCTCGCATAATTTCTTCACTCACTGTCTATTCTTTGTTTAAACGAGGATTCTAACCCTATTTAGGGTAGGTCTCGCATAATTTCAACGGTACAGATGGGTTCCAACCCTATTTATTGCAGGTCCAGCAAAATTTAAACGCTTTTTTACAAATTTTGTAATTTGTAGACGAAAATTCGAATATTCGAAGTTAAAAACTATATAAATAAATGAAAACAAGCTTGGTTTGTTATTCCTTGGTATAATGCTTCTTACCAGCTGTAACAAATCCTCTTCACTTTCCACTAATCCATTTTTGAAGAGTGAAAAAGTGGAGGAGAAAAAAAAAAACACAAAAACACAAAACCCACAACTTATTGCGAATCAGAAACCCATTTTACACTGAAAAACTATTCAAACCCTAATTATCAAACCAAGAACTTGATCATCATCCCACGACTCGGTTAAACTTTTGTTAAAATCCTTCCTTTTTCTTTCAATTTTCATGAACCCGTCACGATATAACTGAACGATGTCTCGTTTAAGTCGTTGCTCGGAGCATTGGAGACTGAGGCAATGGTGAGTGTGGCGACATGATATCTTCGAGCCTTCGAGATGACAATCGAAGCTCGAGGCTGCTTTGGCGCCAACAGAATTTTTGTTTCTTAACCTTGGCTACCTCCTTGTTTTGTAGCACAAAGTTTCTAATTCTTGTTATGGAGATGTCCATGGTGTTGTCGTCCATGTTTGCAAAGCAAACCCTGAACCATCCCGGTTCCGAGCAGTGGAACGACGAACCGGGCGACACGTTGAGTTTAACGTCGTTGATTATCACCCTCCATAGTGTCATTTCTGCTTCCAATGTCTTCTCTTTCAAAAGATGTCGTAAATCCATCCACAAGAACAACCCACCACTTCCTTTCAAATATCCAATTCCAACCTGAATAAAAACTTAAACTTTAAGGAATTGAAGTAGTAGCGAAAAGGGTATAATTGGAATACATACAAATCGTACGAGATCGACTCACCTGAGCAAGTTCTTTAGTAAAGTTACGGTGACGCGTAGCGAGCTTCTCAGCACTCCCAACAAGGAAACGATCGACAAACGCATCATCAGACAACATCGACGCAATCAAATATTGTGTTTGCGACGAGACAAGGCCGAAGCTCGACATCTTACGAGCGCAAGCCACGACAGCATCATTGTAAGAGTAGATAATGCCAACACGAAATCCGGGGAATCCCATATCCTTGGAGAGGCTATAAACGACATGGATAAGATTCTTATCGCATTCAGTGTCGTTTTCAATCACTTCGGAGATACTAATGAAGCCAGGCTCTGCAAAGACAGTGGCAGCATAGATTTCATCGCACACTAAATGTATGTTCTTTTCATTGATGAATGTAACAGCAGTTTCGAGCGTTTTTTTGTCGTATACTGTGCCAAGTGGATTTGAAGGATTGGTTATGAGTAAGCCTTTGACTTTTAAGCCAGATTTTTCAGCTTCCACGTAAGCTGTTTCCATGGCTTCTCTTGTCAGTTTGAAGTTGGTTGAGCTTTCACAAATTACTGGAACAATTTTGACTCCGGTTCGCCACGTCAGATCTCTATCAAATCTATAAATAATTCAAGAAAAGTCAACTATGAGTCAAATCAAATAATATTATAATGTCAAACCAAAAAAAATTATGAGAAAAAAAAAATACCCTGGATAATAAGGAATAGGAACAAGAAATGCTTCCCCAGGATTAGCCAAACAAAACGCCACCGTTTCATGAGCTCCAGTAGCTCCACCACTCATAACAACACGGTCTGGATCGAATTGTACTCGATTGCCTCTCACTTTGGCCATGAAATTCGCCACAGCCTGTGAAAATTCAGTAATTGTGAGATCCCACATCAATTATTGGGTAGGAGAACGAAACATCCTTTCTAAGGATGTGGAAACATCTCCTTAGAGACCCAACTCGAAAGGGAAAGTCCAAATAAGACAATATTCGATAGCGGTGGATTTGAGCCGTCTGATTTATTAAGATTAGTTTAGTTAATTTAGTTTAAAACATACGTTTCTAAACCGTGGCAATCCATGGTAATCCTGGAAGTTGGCTATGTCTTTAAACTCATGAACTCCTTCAACGCTACAAATGGAAGCTTTTGGATTGTTTTTGATCCATTTCTCCACGAATTCAAAAGAAAGCTGCAATTTTGAACAAAACCCATCAACCAAAAACACCAAAAACTTGAAATTTGAGTGAAATTTCAGATCAAAACCAAGTGGGTACCTGATTTTCAGCCAAACCCATTTGAATAACCCCACGAGGATTCATTGTTGGATGAAATGGGTCACTGTCATAAGCCTTCCAACCATCAAAATATGGCGAATCCTCGCCATGGCCGTTCCCTTGGGCCAACTTGGACAAGAGTTTGCTAGCAGTGTTGGTTGAGAGGTGCACCATTTTGGAGTAGTGGAAGAAAGTTGATATCTTGTCTTACAGAGAAGGCTTGTTAATGGTGGTTGAGGAGTGTTTTTCGAGTATTTATAGGTCTTTAGCGTTGCAAATTGGAGTTTTTCTTCCTTGTGGAACCTATGAAGAAATTTCTCTTTAAATTACGCACATCATCCACGTCGTCAGCGCGTGAGAATTGTTGCCTCTTTTTATTTATTTATTTATTTATGTTCCAATTATAATTCGATATCCGTATTCAAAGTTTTAATTTGATCCTTATACTCCGACATCCAACATGAAATGGGTATGTAACAGTCTAAGCCTATTGTCAGTAAATATTGTCCGCTTTGACCCGTTACCTATCATTATCAGCCTCATAATTTTAAAATGAGCCTAGTATGGAGAGGGTCTAGCCCTACATTGACTAATGTGATTATGTCCCTTGATTGACTTTGTTACAAATATGGTAGTTTTGGCCCATTACGTATCACTGTTAGTCTCACGATTTTAAAACCCGTCTACTATGGAGAGGGTCTAGCCATACTCCGACTAGTGCCTCGCACTGTCTGGTGACTGCCTCTAATACCATTTGTCACGGTCCAAACCCACCACTAGTAGATATTATCACGTGTTACTGTCAGCCTCGTAATTTTGAAATGTGTATACTAAATAGAGGTTTCCACACATTTATAAGAAACGATTCATTCTTCTATCTAACTGACGTGGAAACTTAAAGTGTAATTGAAGCTTGGCCAAATTATATAGGCTATTGAGACTAAGGTTTCTTTCCGTTCAACTATATAAAATGTTAGGAGATTAGAACCTCTAACTTATTACGTAAAAATACCCAATATATATATATATATATATATATATATATATATATTGCGTAAAAATAACAAAAACCCGCAACGAACGCAACTCTCGTGTTGAGTTGCCAACCGTTGAGGTTGGAACCTTGAACAAACTACCGGGGATAAGTCAGAGGAAGGTGAGGATGACGTCAAGTCATCATGCCCCTTATGCCTTAGGCGACACACGTGCTACAATGGCCAGGACAAAGGGTTGTGATCCCGCGAGGGTGAACTAACTCCAAAAACCCGTCCTCAGTTCAAAACATTATAAAAGACAATATCATCGCTTCATATCAATAATGCACGTGTTAGATCATGCGTATAAAACATAAAACGAAACGTCGGAACCGACATTTTAGGAATTGGATAGGGTAAGATAGAATAATAGAATGGGGGGAGAATCTGATAGGGGTGACCTAAATTATTAAGGCAGTGGAGCCATGAGAAACGCGGGAAACGTCCTATTAATAATAATAAATAAATAAATAAATAAGAGTTCATGGGTCTTAATTTAAGCCTTTAGGTACCCCAGACACTATCCAGTTGGCAGATCTGACTTTAATTAAATTAAAAAAAAAATATATATATATTTTAAAAATATAATAAAATAAAATAAATAAATTCATTAATTATAGAATCTCTTGTTGGTGTATCCCTTTTTGCCAGAAAGTTTTTAATTTTATTTATTTATTTATTTATTTATTTTCATTTTTGGGATACAGCTCTTGGGACTGTTCCCCATTATTTGAGAAATTATTCGGTGATTAATTATTAAATAATTTCTTTATGTTTTCTTGTCCCCTTAATTTCACGTTTTTTATTTTATTTTATGCAAAATGTTTCTTCCTAATCATAACTTTTAGTACATAATAAATTTAATTATATTTTTATTTTTTTTATAAATTACGTCGATATTATTTGTAGTAATTACATTTTTATATTAAAAATTGGTTTTTATAAAGCAGTGAAGAGATAAATTTAGTTGATATTTAGTTCATAATTAAATTATAATACTAAAAATAAATAATAATAAATGAAATAATATTGTCTTTTATGTATTTTTCTAATCCTCTCGTGTGGAGAATACCCTATCTGATGATGTTTTTTTAATAATTAAAAATTACTAATTTATATTTAAATTATAATATTAAAAAAATAAATAAAGGAAATAATTTTGTCTTTATAGGTATTTTTGTAATCCTCCCGTGTGGAGAATATCCAATATGATGATTTTTGTATTAAAAAAATAATATAAAATTAATTAATATCGAATGGCTATAAAGTCGTCCACTTTATCTTTAATAATCGACCAAATCGAGAAATTATTATTTTAAAAATTAGGTCAGTTTTCCATTTTTTTTAATTTTGATTAATTGTATCCTTAAATATTAAAGGTTGTTTTTTTAAATTTTAAATTACGATAATTAGTATTTATAAAAAAAAATTAAATATTTTTTTAATTTGATATTCACACTCGAATGAGAAATGTCCATTTTACCCCGATATAAAGAATTTCTATTTAAATAGAAAATAAAAAAGTCAATTGGGAGAGATTTCTCTCGTTTAGCTAAATTGAGCCATGAACACGAGATTATATTTACCGTCTCGGCCCCACTTTTTATATTATATATTATATATAAATTAAATTGGTAAATAAATAAATAATTAATTTACATGACTGTTATAGTATATTTTTGTTTATGAAATATTGTTTATAATTTTTCAATATAAATTATATCGAAAAAGGATGGTTTTTCACTAAAAAGTTTATTTGAAATGATTATATATACATAATAATAATAATAATTTTATTTTGGGTATTTAAATTAAAATTGAGAAAAAAAATGAGAATTTGAATATAATGTGTTTTAAACATGTGGGTGGATAATTGGGACTTACGTCCACGCCTAATGTTGAAGAATAAAAACTTTGGACAAGAAAAAAAAACACACAAAGGTTGTCACGCCCGAGTTTGGTTAAGTTCCATTCCACGAAAAGTTGAAATAAACAATATTAAAAGTCAAGCCTTGGTTTAGAATGTATACACGTTAAAATTTGGATTGCCCGATATTTACTTCGGGCAGCTCCTTCACCTTTTTTTATAAGAAACGTTCATATGATTTGATAACTCGACCAATTCGAACTACACAACCTAAATCATAAAATTTGAATTGAGTTTGATTAGATTTTTTTTTTCCGGTTTGGGTTGGGTTGACTTTCTAAACAATAAAAAAATTTGTTCATTTTGTTGGTTGACATTTTTTTGGAGTCAGATCAATTCGACCAACTAAAAAATACAATTACAATTCAATCTACCTTACTTTTTTTAAAATCAGAGTTAATGATGTGTTGTAATTGGTAAATATTTGATATTTGAATTTTATAAAATTTTAGTTTACCGTGAATAAGTAATATAATATTCAACTTTTAATTTTAATTATTAATATAACTCGTAAATGTGATTTTTAACAGATTTACTCTATTTATTAATATTATTTTGAATAGAGTTCTAGTTGATAAAATATTTATTGATAAAGTTTCAAATTTTATTAAATATTTAATAAAGTTTCGAGATTGGTTAGATATAACAATAAACGTTTAAAAGAAATAATTTATTATTAATTATTTTTTAAATCTTTCCTCTCAACCCATTGTCAAATTAAAAAAAAATGCTAATATTAAGTGATATATGTATTAAATTTTCATTATAATTTTTAAAATTAAATTCCTAATAATAAGACAATATATAAATTTAAAAGAAAGTGGAGAGAATTATTGAATATTAAAAAGAAAAGAAAATAAATAATAATAATAATAATAAAAGAGTAATGAATCATAATAGGATTTAAATCTTGAAATAATGGGAATGGAGATGTCAATAATATTAATTATAATTTTATCATTTCAAAAATTAACAAATATGCATTTTAGATTAATTTCGAAGTGAAAAAAAAAACAAATAAATAATTAAAAAAAACTTGAATTTGGACCTAAAAATAGACTTTTTATTATTTTAATTATATTTAAGTTAAGCATCATCCTCCAATATGAAAATAGTTTAATTAACTGACGACCAAAAAGTAACAGGTTCAATTCATTGTTTTCAATACGGTGTGAAGTCAAGAAAAAAATTACTATTTTATCATAAAGTCGTGTAAATACGAGTATTGATATCGGAATATTGAAATTTTGTTTGTTTACTTTTTTTTTTACTTGTTTTTTTTTAAAAATTGGAACGTTTACTTATCAAAATATCAAATCGTTGAAACGTTTACTTATTAGTGCTTTGAATCGGAAATGGTTGAAACTATTCCAAATTCAGTCCCAAATAAATTTCTTGATTTTACATTCGGTAAAAACTTAATATTTTTAGAAAATGAATGGTCAAATAATGTGAAAAACAGCGAAACATAATGATTAGGTTATGTAGAAAATTGTTGGTGTAATCCTGACCATATCTTTTCATCTTTCAATATTTAATTAAATAAATTTTCATATTTTAATAATAATAATAAAAAGTTTTAAAATAAAGTCAATTTTTTATAACTATACTCGAGAAGTTAATAATTTAAAGTGTATTGGTCTGAGTTTTTAAATATTAATAAATAAATAAAACAAATTATATATATTTTAAAATATATTATATTTGGCGAGTTATGTCAAGCATAGTAATAATAATATGGTCGGTTAATTGTATATTGAGACATTTGAAGATTTTGTCGGTGACACGTCAACATGATGATGTGGAAAGTGGTAATACAAAATGTGGGATTGGACAAAAATTGACTGCAGGGGATTCATGATAAGAGGCTTTTGATATATTGAAAACATTATAATAAACTTTGTTTGTTTGTTTGTTTTTTTTTTTAATTATTGAAAAGATCGAAAAGATAACCGACCATGTAGTAACCAAATGCAACCACATTTAACATAACCGTAACCGTCCAAGTTTATCAGATATTCTTCGTTTTGGCCCGTTACGTATCGTTGTTAGCTTCACGGTTTTGAAACGCGTATGCTAGAGAAAAGTTTCTACACCCTTATAAGTATCCCCTCCTTATCTAATGTGAGATCTCACAATCCACTCATTTGGAGGCTAGCGTCATCATTTGGGGGCTGGCGTCATTGCTGGCACACTGCCGGGTGTTTAGCTCT